TCTGACCCCATCTCCTCCCTCCTCGCAGCAGGCCAAGCGCAGAATTCGCTCCATCCGTCTGAACACCCAGCCGGGAAATAGGACAAGGCGAGAAAGAACCCCCGCGTCCTGAAGGGCCGCAGAGCCCGGCACCCTCCAGGGGGCTGGGAGGGGCAGCAGCCTGCTGGGGGAGCGGCAGCCTCACTCCCGAGCAGGAGGCGCTGGCCAGCGCAGGGTCACCAGGGCCCACTGGCTGCACCCACAGCAGCCTCATTTGGAGGAATTTCCTGGACCGTCTCCGAGAGGAGTGATCCCCACCTGCAGGAACCACCTTGCTTTTCAGAGCAAGGGACGAGTCGCGGCTCCCCCGGGCAGGGCTGGCCAGGCCCTGGGAGCCCAGGGAGCTCTCCCCCGGTGACCGGTGTGTGTCCCTGGCCAGCCCTGCCCAGGCCTCGGGGGCCGAGCCCTTTTCAGACTGCACCCTGCCCTTGTTTAGTCGACCCTTTTAAAGTCTGAACACTGGCGGTGGGGTGCCGCCTTCTGTCCTTGTTTTGCAGACACCTGCTCTGTCTCACAAGAGAAAACTAGATACAAAGACGTTTGTCCCTCGGCGCCAGCGTCCAAGCCACGCATGGAGAATGATTCACAGACCACTCACCTGCTGGGCCCTCCTGGGACAGACCACGGAGCTGAGCCCCCGGCCAGGAATCCTCGGTGGCCAGGGCCCAGCGCTCACAGGGTCCAGGCCAGGCCTCCTGAGCCCTCCGCCCAGCTGGAAGGGGTGGGCCCTGGCTCAGGACAGCAGGAAGGGAAGCTGCTGCCATGGACAGGCGCTCAGCAGGGAAGTCTCACCGGGTGGGCCTGCGAGGCCCCAGCACAGGTCCAGAGAGCCCTGCTGCCCACCGCCTGGTCCCTGCCGGGCTCCAGGTGCTCGGAGACTGTGCCTGAGGAGGGGATGGGGAGGGGTTCACCTGCTGCCCGTGAGCACAGACAGAACGGGCACCTCTGTCCAGCGAGGGCAGTGCAGGGTGTGACCACAGGGAGTCCGCCCTCCGCCCTTTGCACACCCACGAGAGACAGGTGTGAGCAAGGACACCCTGATGAGCCCACGGCCGTGGAGGCCTTCTCCAGGCCACGACCTCCGGAGCTGAGGTCTGTCCATCTGGCCTGCAGGGTGTCCCCGGGTGGCCTCCAAGGGCCAGCTGCAGGCAGGGCTCCCACGCCCTCCACCAAAGTCTGGGTGGAATCCTCGGGAAGTCACCCTGCACAGAAGGACTGCCTGTCAGGGAGCCCTCCCCTTTAACAGCCTTATGGGAATGTCACACGCACCACTCACGCCTTTGAAGGGCGCGACTGAGTGGATCTGGGTATTTTCAGAGTCATGCAGCCATCACCAATTTCAGAACGATTTTAGTCAATTTCAGAACATTTTCATCACTCTGAAAAGAGACTTGGCACCCTCGGGCCTCACGCAGAGCTCCTCCCCCCCAGCCTGCAACCACTAATCTCTCCGACGTCTCAGACTTGCTCGTCCCGGACACTGTGTATAAATGGATCCATATGACAGGCGGTCCCTTTCACCAAGCGTCTCTGTGCGGCCTGCATCAGCCCTTTGCTCCCGCTGACGGCTGGGGGATGTCCCGGGTGAGGACAGACCCCTCGTGCCATGTAGGGCTGCAAACGGAGGCTGCTTCTCCTTATTTTGGGAAGTTCTGCTGATTATCTAGACTATCAGACGGGGGGCTCAGGTCAGACAGACGTGGTGGGTCTAACGAGTCAGGGAGCACAGGTCACCTGTCTGAACTGGCCCCTCGAGTCTCCCTGGCCCTAGGAAAGTTCTGAAATGTTGCACAGCACCTTCCCATGGAGAGCAGCGCTTTGGCCACGGATGAGACATCGTCCACGTTCTTCTAGAAACTGGTTTGTCTGGGAATCCGGAGAAAACGTGTGTAGACAGGAGTGGTGTTGTCCACACCGAGGCTCTCAGCTGCCCGCCGTGGACAGGGACGAGGTCCCAGGAGTCTTGCCAGGTGAGTGCGGGCATCCGCCCCTTCTGTGGAGCGGTGGCTCCTCTCCTGGGGCCAGGGGTCCCTGGGAACATCAAGGGAGCTGGTGTGGAAGCCAGGCCTGTGGCGCTGCTGAGCGGGGCCTGAGCTCACCTCCATGTCCGCCTCCTGACTCCCCTCCTGACCCTGACCTTGACTCTCCTCCTTCACACCTGAGGGCCCCCCTGCCCGGCTGTGTCTGGTGGCTCCGTGCAGAGACGAGGCCCCGATCCCAGACCCAGTCCCCGTGCCAGGAGGAGATGGGGCTGGCAAGATCCTGCCCTGGTGGGACCCACGGGACCGTTTATCACTCGTACCTTCAAAGCACCGTGTTTGGAGCTAGATATTTTTCAAAAATAAATGAGGTCAAACCCTGATAGGAATCAATGTATCCGAGCCACCTGCTGTTCCTGGTGTGGTGTCCAGCGGATATCTTGTGGCCCAGATGGTCCCTTTGAAATATCCACAACAGCAAAAGGTTTGTTTTTCCACCCAAAGCAAATGAAAATACTTGCAATCAGGAAAAAACAAATGGGGAGCCGAGGCTCAGACGGCCCGCGCCGTCCAGGGGCATCAGGATGCGCCCGGCTCCTCCGTGGCCCTGGGCAGGGGGGAAGGCCCTGGCGGGGAAAGCGGGGGACGGTGTTGGCGTTTCCCAGGATGAGCTCGGAGTGTGCAGAGGGGGTTTCTGGAGCCAGACGAAGCCGGGCCCCAATCCTGGAGCCGCCGATGTCTGGTGCCTCTTGTGGGAGCCTCGGTTCCTTCTCTGCCGGGGAGAGTGCAGCTGCGGGCAGTGGTGGGAGGGAGGAGCGTGGCTTTGGGGCGTCAGTGACCAGCACTCTGCCTCCGGTCCCTCGGCTGCTGACGCTGTGACGTGAGCCTTTCCAGGAGGCTGGCTGTGCTCTCCCGGGGCTCCCAGCCGCTCCGTGGCCCGCTCCGTGGCCTGCTCCATGGCCTGCCGTTCTCGGCGCCCGTGGCACTCACCTGGCCAAGCTCCGAGGGTCTCTTTCTTCCAGCTGGACGGCGGGCACCCCTGCGCTCCTGCTGGCTCTGAGGCGGGGTGCCACTCCCATGTGCCAGCTCAGCTCCTCCAGCCCTGCTCCAGGCACCTCTAAAGTGACAATTCCACAATCATCATGACAATGGGCACAATGGTCACCCGCTTTACAGGTTGCGGTTGAGGCTTGGAACGGCTGGTCACTTTTCTAGTGCCCTTCAACTGGTGAGTGGCCAGGCCAGGGTCCACCCCAGGCAGCCAGCCCCGGTGTGTCCACTCATGGTCCCTCTATCAGAGCAAAGTGAAGAGCAGGCCCAGCAGTCGGGGCCAGGGTGAGACCTGGCCATGTGTGGGTGACATGGAGAGACACATAAGCCGGAGGAATCGGGGGTGGCCTGGGCAGCCACTGGGGAGACCACCTGGCTTTCTAAGGAGTGAAACTTCAAGTCACATTGACTCAGAAGTTCCCTGGGGCATGCACCCAAGAGATTCCACTCCAGCAGAGGTACCCAGGTGCCTGATCCTAGCGCTTACTCAGAAGCACCCAAAGGTGGTCACAGTTCAAACGCCCATCAGCAGATGAATGAAGAAACACCAAATGGGGGTTTATCTGTGCCGTGGAAGGCTACTCAGTCAGCAAAAGGGATGCAGTCCTGACATGCTGCCAGGAGGCTGAACCTCGAAGACACCAGGTGGATACCAAAGATCAAGGATCGCAGGTTCCATTGATGGGAAAAGTCTGGAAGAGGCAGATCTGCAGAGGCAGAAAGGAGCTGAGAGCTCCCAGGGGCCCGAGAGAGGGGAAAAGATGCTAATTCTCTCAAGAGGAGCTTCCCTTCTGGTGCGGGGAAGACGTTGGGAGCTACGCGGAGGCCGTGGCCGATGATATCGTAAATGAACTGAATGACACTGAAAGCCTCGATGTTCATTGACCATTTTTTCCCAGATGACGCCCAACTCCAACAACTGGATTGAGTCTCCACCTCTCCACGTGAACAGACCTCAGTGCAAGTCAGGGGACAGCGCCACCGCCACCCAGGACACGGGCAGTCCCTGCATCTGGTCCCTTTCACCAGAGCCGCCCCCAAGGATACGGAGATATACAAACCCCCAACAGAATTCAGAGTCATCATTGTGATGATCAACAAACCTCACGGAAAACAGAGGAACAATTTGACAAAATCAGGACAACCACGACTCAAGTGGCTAGTTCTAGATTCTGTAAATGTCACATCAATAAAATAGAAATAGAACTGGCAGAGGTTGGGGGGTGTTTGTACCTGGGGAAAGAGGGGGGGGCTCTGACAGTTCTCTCCAGACTGAGGCAGGGACTCAACAGCCGGGTCAACTCAGGGCAGAGCCCGAGCCAACGTGTCTTGAGCCACGGGCAAAGGGTACAGCGCTGCCTTCCCAGATGCTGACACGGCATGACCCTCGGGACCTCACCCAGAGTCAGGGTGGAGAGCGAGTGACCGCAGGCTCTGCACACCGCAAAGTGCACTCACCCACCAGCATCAGCTAAGCACCGAGGGCATGCTCAGTAAGTGGGCAAGGTGCACCTCTCCCCCGAGAGCGATTAACGTGACGGCGAGCGGCCTGAGAAGAACCGGAAGACGGTGGTGAGTCCCAAGGCTCCTGACCTTGCCTGATCCACACCAGAGGGACCATCCGATCCTGGTGCTGATCCCCGAGTGGGCTGCACGGCCCCCCGCATTCCAGGGGACAAGGCTCCAGCACAGAGATTCATGAACCTTCCCAAGGTCCCTCAGCAGAGTGCAGGGGGGGCCTGGCCAGGGGCGTCAGTGACCAGCACGCTGCCCCGCGTCTCCAGATCACAGAGCGGGTCTCTAGGACAAAGGCCCAGGCAGGTCGCTGTGACGGGAGCACTGTGGGAGGGGAGAGACCAAGCGGTGAGACCAGTGAAAGATGGTGGCCACAGGGTCTGGGAGGTCACAGCAGAGAAGGGAGTCTGTCCCCACAAGTGACCGCCCCAGATACAGTGGCCTGCTGGTGCTTCCTGCAATAGCACCGGCCTCCCGCTTCCTCTAAGGACAGGAGTTACTGTGGGGCCTCCCAGCCTGCCCGCCTGTCAGTCTCTGGGGAGCCGAAGAGGTGGGGAGATGACGATACAGAGGGCCTCAGTGGAGCTCAGACACGGGCATGGTCAGGAGCTGGATGATGCCCGCGGGCAAAAGGGAGTGAGAGGAGGTCATCAGCCTGGCCGTTCCCAGCAGCCCCTGGGAGGCTAGAAAATGGACTCTTCCCTCAAGCCAAAGGAACTCCAGGCCAGGGCGGGGCTCGGCGTGTTCCTTTCTAGGGAGTCTCTTCATCCTCCTGACCCCATCATTTTCTGGGGGCAAAAAGGAATACCAACACGCCCACGTGTGCCAGAGTGACGGGCAGGCACACTGGGGGCGTGAAGAGGTGCCCGGAGCCCTGGGGCAGGCAGCAGAACTGCGCTGTGGGGGGGGGGATGTGTCCAATAGTCAAGGAAAACTGTTTAAAGCTACTTTTGTGACGTGACTCTGAGTGGGTAATGGAGGGGTCCGGCGAGGCCCAGAGAGCGAAGGCATTTTGTTTGCAGTTTGAAAATCAGTTGGAGACTTGGAAATCCTGGAGCGCCCCTGCTCGAGACAGTCCGTGCCACTGAAGAGAGCCATCGGCAGCCTGGCGCGGGGGGGAGGTGGCAGGTAGGGTGGGGGACAGCCTCCAGCGGCAACAGCCAGGCTGGGCCCTGGGAGGAGAGGGCCAGGCTTGATGATCACTGAGGTGCAGCGTCTCAGCTTCTCAGTTCGGAATCTGCACCTGTAGTTGGGGGTCAGGATGGGGAGCGTTCTATCCCCTTGCAATGAGGGCCTCGCCTGTGTGTACCCGGAGGCTAGGAACCTCCTCTCCTGGCCTCTACAGTACCCAGCAAATCTCTATCTTCCCAAGGCAGCCGTGCGGGCTTCTAGGGAGTCATCCCAATCTCTGGTCCAAATGACCAGATTCTTCTGAATGTCCTGCCCCTGGGTCCAGGCTGGCCTGCCAGTAGCTCGGGGTCCACTTGAGTTGGGCAGAGCTTCACGCGGGAGATCCTGATGGAGCCCGCCAGCTCCTTCGGTTCTGGGAGCCCGTGGCCCCGAGCTCAGGCCTCCCAGGCTGCCCCCCCACCCCACCCCAGCCTCCTGCACGGTGGGGGCACTCCTCCTGTCCCCCTGGCCGTGCCCTTGGGGAGGTGACTGTCCCACCTCCTTGTCCCCTTTTAAATGTGAGAAGCTGGACTCGGGGAAGCCCGGGGTTTTCCCGGACCCTTCTGACCAGTGGGACACATCTGATTCCCATCCCAGGTGCTGACCGCCACGGAGGGCCGGAGCCTCCCAAGAGGCCCCGAGAAACGGCGGGGGCCACAGTGTCCAGGGCCATGCTGGGAAGGAGCAGGGCCGGGGAAGGGCTGAGTCACAGCACCTGAGATCCTGCTGCAGGGATCTGGCCAAACACTTTTAAGAAAAACAATGTCCCCTCTTTGATGGACGTCCAGGGCTCAGGCTCAAAAACAACATGTCCCCACCGCGTGGAAGCGCTCGCCTCCTGGGAAAACAGAAGGACAGAGTCGTTCTTCCGGAGGGTTATTCAGGGCGCCTCCGCCTGCCCAGGCACCACGAGAGGCTCAGCACTGCGACAGGTGCCCGGACCCGCGGCTCCCGCAGGGCCGGGTGAGGGTGGCCCCGGAGGAACCCCCACGCGCCAGGGAGCCCTGGGGGCATGCGGTTTCCCCATTTGTGGAGAGGGTCTGGGCACACTGGCCTCCTGGCAGCTGTGCCCAAGTCTGCTGTGGCCACCCCAGTCAGCAGGGAGCAGCTCGGCAAGCGAGGTCTGAGGTGGACACCGTGAGTTCACCTCTCAGCCCTGCTGTCACCGTGAGCAAGGCCCAGATGGCAGAGGTCACAGAGGAAGCAGCCCTGAGGCCCCCTGGGCAGCAGACGTGGAGTCCACATCCCGACTCTGGAGCACAAAGCCAGCGCTGAAGGAGGCCACAGCGGAGGACAGCTGCCTGGGCCACCGGCCAGCGCCAGCCTCCACCCGTCAAACTCTGGGCCACTGCAAAGCAGCCTCCGAGGCGGCCACGCTGGCCTCCCACCACTCTGGCCCTCTGTGTCCTCTTCTGCAGAGTGGGGCAGAGCAATGGGGGGTCCTGGTGGGGACTGTTCCAACGACACCTGAGTGCCCCACAGCTGACCGCTCCCCAGGCCCCCAAGGCCCCCCTGGAGCCAGTCCTCGCCTGTGAGGAGGCACCCGGGAGGTCACAGGAGGCGCCAGTGCCCAGTCTGTCGGGGAAGGGAGAGTGGGGAGAGGTTCCCCCGCGGCTGCTCAAAGTCCTCCACACTCTAATCACTTCCTGAAATGTCCCCTAGGTTTCCTTTTATCACGTACTTGTGCAAATCAGTCTTCACGTTGGCGATGGCCTGCAGATGGTGGAGGGGGACGGTCACTGTGAGCGGCTCCGGGGCTTCAGGTGGCCCTTTCCATATAGACCTGACCTCACTGTGGGGGGCTGTGCGGGGAGCCAGGCTGAGGAGCGAGGGCTTAGGGGCGGCCACCGTGTTCTTAGGTCCACCGCGGGGATGCCCGCGAAAACCTGCAGCTACGCTAAAACCCGCCCGCCCCTCCCTACGCTTTATTTTTGGTATTTATTTGTTCGATCATTTACTTACTCATTTCTTTAATTAATCGTACACGACAGTAGGACGCTCTCTGATCCCTCACACGTAATGGAGCATCTTCCTCCCTCCTGTGGCTCTGCGTGGTATAGAATCACCCCCGTCGAATAGCTCTGGGTGTGTACGCAGGGTATCGATGTCTGCCCGTCTACTGTCCTTCCCACCCCTCCCTGCCCTCCCCCACCTGATCTAAAGTACCTGGACTCTTCCCCTGCCCCGCCCCCGGCTCAGCATCTACCTATCAGAGGACACGTCTGGCTCTCGGTTTTGGGGACTGGCTTCGCTCACTTAGCTGATATCCCGTCCCTACACTTTAAACGGGAGAATTGTGTAGGTTAATTCTCTCTCAGTAAAAGGTCATGAAAAAGAAAGTCACATTCACAGCCGCACACTAAAGCCTCTCAGTGAAATTTTGGACAGGACCCATCTAGGCAACCAACTCCATCCAAAGGCCATGTCCACCTCAAGAACTGGCCATTCAGTCCTTGCAGTTATTTTAGATAAAGGGAATAGGATTACTTACCAACCCCCTCGCAGGTGCCTCCCAAGTCCTTTTATCCTGGGATCCTGGCACGTATGGCCATCTGCGTGTCACCCTGCGGGACAACCTGGAGCAGCCATGCGGTTCTCTAGAGAGAAGGGAGAAGGAGATCAGGAACCATCCAGAACGTCCCCCGGCTGGCCCCCAGGGGCCTGAGCAGCCAGAACAGAGGCCGGTCAGGGCCACGGGGCAGCAGGAGCCCAGCAGGTGCTCCCAGGGTTGGCTCCCACCTGGGCCCGCCTCCCGCCTTGCCATCCGCCTGTCCCTGTCCGGATTGCAAGGTGTTGAGCTGGCCCCACATGATGGGGGCACCTCTGGAGCTGCCCAGGGCGTGTGCAGCCCTGTCCTGCTCTGAGCAGCTCACTCTCCCGCTCTCCAGCTGCATCCCACGGACCTCTGTGTCCTCCACGGGTCAGGCAGGCCCCACGTGCTCCCTGGGCATCCTCAGCAGCCCAGGTCACCTCTGGCTTCACTCAGGGGACCTCGCCGTCCAGCACCCGGGGCTCGGGCTTGGCTCCCCCTGCCTGCTCTGCCCAGGGTCCTCCTGCAGCTGGGCCCTGGTCACTGTCTCCATCCTCGACAGAGTGGCGCTGGGACACTTCTCCTTGATGAGGGAAGACAAGAGAGAGGTAGCAGGTCTCCAGCCGCGAGGACCACGGGCCCAGCGGCCTTCCCACTGCCGTGTGCTACCATTTGTGAGGCCTGGTGTGACCCGCCTTCTCTCAGCTCCTGCTCTGTGAGACGGCACTTCTCCCCTCACGTGGGGAAACTGAGGAGTCGCGGGGTAGATGGGGGCTCACGGATCAGCCCCCACGTGGTGGAGGCCGGCTCAGAGCCGCTGCCTGGCGCTGACCCGGGCTCCGTCCTGCGGCTCGTGCTAAGCCCCCTGCGCCCTCACTGTGAACCCTGGTGCTGCCCGGGAACATGGCCTGGGACCCGCTGCACACAGGGGCGTGTGCAGGGAGCAGGTGGCCGAGGGGCTGCCACACCAGGCGCCTCCCACCAGGGCCAGCCCAGCAGCTGGGACAAGGCACCTGGCACTTCTTCACTGGGACACTGGAGACGCTGGTGGTGCCAACATGCTGTCTGTGCTGTAAGTTCAGTGAATTGTTTGTGGAACACAGCAAATACTAGTCTTAAACTTGGAGTAAGTGCTCGATGACCCCCAGTTCCTGCCACTGCTGTCCCTGCCTGACACTGAGGAGAGCCCCTGCGTGCAGGCCACAGGCCCTGGCTCCGTTGCAGGGCAGGGAGGGGGTCCAGGGGCTCTGCAGCTCCTCTGCCCCAGAGGATGCAGCCCCCAGGGCACGCCCCCCCAACACCTCCTGCTGGACCCCGGGGACAGCCTGCTGGAGCACTGTCCCCACCCAGGCAGCCCGTCTGCGCTCAGGACACAAGCCCCTGGATGTCGCCCAACTCACGGTCGGGATGGCACATCAGCCCAGAAATCTGTCACCTCGGCCTGCGGCTGGCGGCCGGAAGGAACCAGGACCTGGGTTGAAGGGCAGCGACCTCATCGGATGGGAGAAGGGGGGCGGGGAGGACCGTCCCCTGGAGCCCAGCAGGAGACACGGGCCCGTGCTCCACCTGGAGAACAGGTGTGACACCGTGCTCCCAGGGAGGAGGGAGGAGTGTGCTCTCAGGTGGGCGGTCTGCACACGGCGCCTGCCTACAACCAACCTCCCTTCTGAAGGAGCGGCTCCAGGGGACGGCCCTCCCGTCCCCACTCTGCAGATGGAGAAACCGAGGCCTGCGCAGGAAGTCCTTCCTGAAGGTCACGCGCGGGGAGCAGGGAAGCCGCCTTCCACCCAGCAGCTGGTCTGAGCCCTGCCGCAGCCACGGGCCCCCTGCCTCTGCCCTGCCTTGGCCAAAAGGAAGACTCAGGACCCAGGGAGTTTCTCCAAGCAGCGCCTCCTCCTGCCCCTCCGCAGGGAGACGGGAGACTAAGGCTTGGGGTGCCGAGGGGGAGTGCCTGCACCTACACCCTCCGGGCGGACAGGACGGTGCCCCCCGAAAGGCTGCGGGAAGACTGGGTCCCACCAGGAAGCCCGCGCGTTCTGTGTGAGCAGGGCTCATCTGGGAAAGCAGGGGGAAACGCACATGCGCCCCCTCTCTCCAGGGAGGCAGCGGCAGCGCCAATGATAATACGTTTCCTGAGAACTTTCCACTCGCTCTGAAACGCTTCTAATTATGTCTGCAGTCTTTCCTTCCTACCCCACAGGATGAGCGGAACATGCAACTCAGGACTTTCCTAGCTCAGCCTGGAGCTGCCCAGGAGCCATGCAGTCAGAGCTAGAGGGCCCCAGTTCCCCTGCAGGTGGCCCTGGGCACGGCCCCAACCGAGACAGAACGAAACTGGCCGCAGCTGCTCCTGGAAGGGCCAGAGACAGACGAGGTGCAGCAGGAAGTCCTCCACCCCATCACTCCCAGGGCCCGAAGCCCTCGGGGGCTCTGAAGGGGGGTGGGAGGCAGCTCGGTCCCTGTCCTCTTCTTGTTAGAAAGCTGTGCTCCTCTTCTCTGGGGCTCTTGGGATCAAGAGCAGCTTCCTTCTCTCTCCTGAAGCCAGACGCTTCTTCAAGGGCCCCCGGGCGACGAGGCTGGGGTGTCCGGTTGTTTCGCACTCACAGGGAGGCCCAGGAACCAGTGCCCTCTGCCCGTCGCCACCTGAAGCACAAACACTGTGTCACACTTGGGCATCGTGACACCCGTGTGCCTGATGATCGCACAGTGTGCTCTGTGGCGAGGAGCGTTTATGACGTCTGCTGTAACATGAGGGCACGATTCAGGTTGGGGGACAACTAGCTCAGGCAGGAGGGACTTCAGGGAAAGGAGACCCTCATCCGTGCCCCAGCCCTTGTGCCTCTGGGCCAGCCTCGGAGGTCCTTCGGTGTCAGGCCCTCGGCCCTAGACTTGCACCTCAACCTCAGTTTGCAGGTCTGTCATGCAGACGAGCCCTGGTGACGACACGCTGCAGCCCCTGTGAGCACGCACTGGCCTGCCCAGGCCGGCCCGCGGGAGGAAGGTGCACCGGCTCATCAGCCCTTCAACAAGCCTGGGGAGGAGGAGGAGGTATCTCTCAGACCTGGTGCACAGACGAGGAACCAAGACCGGGGGGGTGAGTCTCTGGTCGAAGCCACGGGCTAAGGAGACAAGGTGCTGAAATCCTAAGTTCCCAAAGCTCACGTCGCCCACACCTGCGCACACTGCCTCAGATCCTGGCCACAGAATGGGACCTCGTCCTCGGGGTATGTCTCCGCCCTCTTGCCGGCTGGAGCTGACTGCATGGCTTTCCTATCCACCCTGGACCGTGGGTGGGACGGGTGGGGGCGAGCGCCTCCTCCACTCCAGGGCCAGCCTGACCCCCACTCCAGCTCTCCCAAGATGGACGGTGGAGCTCTCTGCCCTCATGTGGGGTTGGCCTTGGAATCTGGCAGCTCTGGTGCCCCCACAGGACAGTAGAGAACTCTCTCTGGGGAACCCCCTCTGTAGCCCAGCCGTCATGGTATTGCAGGGTCTAGCCTGTGCCTGGCCCGGGGCCACAGGCAGCAGGCGCACAGGTGGGCGGTGGCATCACACAGACCTGCAGTCCCTCTACCTGGCCACCTACCAGTGGTGTGACCTTGGCACTTTATTTTCCTCCCTTAGTCTTTGTTTCTGTAAAATGGGGATAAATCTTACAGAATAGCTCCTGGCTCACTGGCGGCTGGGAAGATTACAGGAAATGTATGTGATAGGGTCCTGATCTCAGTGCCTGACTGATGGCAAACACCCAAGGAAGGACACCAATCATCACCATCATCACCTCCATCACCACCACCATCACCAACACCATCATCATCTCCATCACTATCATCATCACCATCTTCATCACCATCATCACCACCATCATCACCTCCATCACCAACACCATCATCATCACCATCACTATCACCACCACCACCACCATCTCTATCACAACCACCA